CAGGACAATGACCCTAAGCACACAGCCAAGATATCGAAGGAGTTACTTCAGAACGAATCGGTGAAATAATAGAAATGTGCAAAAAGGAGTTTTAAATGCAGCCCTAAGTAGGCATGCAGGCCAGTCTCATCCATCCTTTTCCAGCTGTCACCATATTTGCGAAAACCCTCCAGATTTGTCATCTCCAGGTTTTTTTTTCTATAGCTGGTGTGATGAACAGTTAGAATATTGAGACAATCTCATGGGCATAAGAAAGGGCATATCTTGTGGGTCCTGGGGTCATCCTCATGACATTTTGTTCTGCCACCCTGCAGTGTTTGTCGTATCCTGCCGAGGACCATGTTATTTTGACGTTTTTTGAAAGGAAAGTCTCTCAGCTTCAGGGATTTCTTCTTCTGAAGATGATTCATCATGCTCTGGGTTGTATTCCTCCTCATCTTCTTCTGATACATCCTCCACTTCCTCTTCTGAATCAGAGTTGTCTTGTTGGACATCTGAAAAAAATCAGCTCTAGAGCCTGTTCAACGTTATAACGCACACTCATGGCTTCAGCACAGAGACCATTTGGGGGACTGTCATATGCAGCACTTTTATAGTTTCTGGGAGTCCACACAGACAAAGGGGCAATATTGTTACATTTGGGTTAGATCAGGTCACAGGCATTGCAGTCCACGAGAAGAACACCTGTCTTGTCTTGTTTACGCTTGCTACTGATTGATCTGAGACAGAACTAAAACATTCTCACATTCTGTGGTGTGTAACTAACTCTGTGACTGTGATTTCAACTCAATTTGACAATAGTTCTACTTTTTTTGTATAGCTTACATGGAAATATAAATAAAGGCAACAATTCACTTTTTCTAATGTTGGGGTTAATCTAGGAAAAGTCATCAAATTTCAAGTTGAAAATCATTTAGGGAATTTCTTTTTTGGTTTTTAACACAGTGGCGGGTCATTTTGACCCGAGGACAACAGGAGCGTAAACATTGTAATGGTATTATATTTATATAAGACTGAATATTAGATTTGTCAGTACACTCGCCAATCCCTGTCCCTTTTTTACCCTCTTTTTCCTTCTCCTGTCTCCCCCTTTCTCCTACTGCTTTATATCCTCCTCCTCTTCCCAGTTTACAGAGGATATCTGCAGCAGGACTTAACTCTAATTCTAAGGTGCTTGTGATGGAAGAGGTTTTCTGGATCACTTCCTGACTGTGTGAAGAGAGTCATCCCTCATTTCATCACGCGGCATCACAACAGTGTCAACCAGGCCACAATGTCCTGCTGGTGTGCCCAGATTTGGTGCCAGATCTGTCCCAGATTGTCACAGCATTCTGCCATCTGCTTTAACTTAAGCTGTGGCAGTCATTATCTCTCTGGCAGACTTGCTGCTTGTCTTTTATTTTCAGTAAGTCAAAATAAAAAATGAGTAAATGATGCCATCCTGTCTCCCGTGGCCCAGACTGTGTGATTCCATCCAGTGCCGCTGTAATCCCTGTTACCCAGATGTGGTCGTGTGTGTGTTCATGTAATGCCTTCCAGGGCTTCCTCAGGAACCGATGGT